AATAATCTGTTTCTGTTATTAAGCATCTATTTTGTGCTATATATTGATATTATATCTGATTTATTTTTGTGTCAACATATAGCACAAAATAGATGCTTAATAATTTTTTTTAACTGATAAGAAATTCAGTAAAATTATTTTATGATTTGCCTAAATTATGGTCTCCAATCAGGTTTTCTCCATTAGAAAAAGAAGCTATTTATAAGTAACTTGTAAAGACATATGAATTATGGAACTCTGAAAATTATGGTAAAATTAGAACACAAAATAAAGTTTTAAATTATTTAAGACATGTATAGAATGTATCTGACATCATGTATTATATGTATCTGAGCATTGTTCACTAATAGTTTGATTGCTTGTGATGAAGCTGAGAAATTGCTCTGAGAAAGAGTTTAGATTTCCCCCCCCTTTTTTCCTGTGTGACATTTGTCATCTTTCTTTGACAGTGTAAACTCAATAATAAACACCGAGATATTTTTCTTGTTTGTCATCACTTGAGAATGTATAGTAAAAATTAACCATGGACACTGAATAATGATTATTTTAGTGTAAATCTTTATAAATTGGTATAGAAAAAGGGTAAGTTAAGGATTATTTAGCTATGAGATTAACTCTGTAATAAGTGTGATATTGATTATTTTCAAGTTAGGAATACAAATGATACATTCAGGACCATTTAACAAAGACAAGTGATAATTAGGCTTACAGGCTGATAATTGGAGAAGTAATATGTTGAGGCATGCATATATTTCTTGTTTACATAACAAGCAAAGGAAAATTAGATTTTTTTAAACAAAAGAAATACCCCATGGATTTTAAATCTCTACTGTAAGGGTGAGAAAAATGCTATTAAAAGTTAATCATTTTGTCTTCTGGACTACCTCTGTTTGCACATATTTTTACCTAAGCACTTGTCAAATCATGTTTCTTCTCTTCTAAACTATGACTTCTTTGAGTGCAGGGTTTATGTCTTGTTTGTTCATCTATAGTTGCTAGCATATGATAGGTGCTCAGATGTTTATTAAATTGAGTTAATTTAGTTCAGATGCTACCCTAAAGGCAAAGAATTAAAATCAAGTCTTTGTCCTAATCTTCAGGATTGGAAAATCCAGTCCTGAGCTAAAAAAAGTGGAACTTAAGGGTCTTCTAAATCTGGACATTCACCTAACATTGGAATGGACTTCCTAATTACTTCCTTCCTATCTTTCCTTTTCTGATAGTTGATGCCTAGAATCATGCTTATCAGGTTGGTGGTCAAGAACATTTGTAAAAAGAAATGATTCGTTACCTTTATTTTTATTTTATTTTTAAAAATATATTTTGTTGATTTTTTTTACAGAAAGGAAGGGAGAGAAAGGGATAGAGAGTTAGAAACATCAATGACAGGGAAACATCGATCAGCTGCCTTTTGCACACCCCCTACTGGGGGATGTGCCCACAACCAAGGTACATGCCCTTGACTGGAATCAAACCTGGGACCTCTCAGTCCACAGGCAGACGCTCTACCACTGAGCCAAACTGGTTTTGGCAAGATTCATTACCTTTAAATTCTACTATTATACAATGAAGTTTCTTATTCTATATCAGATTTTGGAGTGGGCATTCTAACCTTTCTTTTATGGTCAAATGTCATCATTTAAAAAAATATAATATTTTTTATTGATTTCAGAGAGGAAGGGAAAAGAAGAGCGACATAGAGAGATAAGAGAAAATCACCAATTGGCTGCCTCCTGCACATCCCCTGCTCAGGATCAAGCCTGAAAACTGGGCATGTGTCCTAATTGGGAATTGAACCTTGGCCTCTGGTTCATAGGTGACATTCAGCCACTGAACCACACTGGCTGGGCAAAAGTCATCATTTTTTAAACTGTCAAGAAAGATCATTTTGTTATTTCTTGAGTTTGTCAAATTCACTTAAATACTTTTGGATTGATAAGTCTGCCAAATCTACATAATGTGCTTTTAAGTTGTTCAGAGCATTTGTATAGGTCACAAAGGATAGAAGTACAATACAAAGGGATAACACAGAAATAAATTATATAAACAATGCTAGGATACATTTACATGTCATTTTTTGAAATATTAATCTTGAGCTAGTAATATCATCAATGCAGTATAATTTTCAGAGTACATTTTTGATCTTGTTGCCCACTTGAAGTTTAGCTCTTTTGTACTAAAAAGGATAAAAACAAAGGGCTTTTAGATCTAAGCCAGAAACCTAATACTACCAGGATCGAAAAGTGTTTTTTTGAAATACTAGTGTTGACAATCACCTTTTGAGTCCAGTGTCTTCCTCAAATACAATTAATGCTAGATAGCCTCTTTTCTAAGATAAACATTGTATTAATGTGCATATCTTTACCCCCAGGACTTGAAATAGCAAAAGGAGGTAGGAACTAAAAGAACATTGGATCCATGCTAACTTGCGTCCTTGGAGGATTAGTAAAAATCAAGGTCAGCAAGAGTCATAGGATGCAGGACAAATCAAGGAAGAAAGCACACCATGGTGGCTGTGTTTCTTTTCTACTGGCCACCACATGGACAGCTGGAGAGGAAGGTGGCTCTTCCGTTCAGTGCTTTCTGTAATTCCTCTGTCTGTATAGTTGGCTTCTGGCCGGTCGCTTTTATTCATTCTTCAGAGAGGAAAATTCCACTTTAATTTTGCTGGGTATGACAGGAAGCAGCATCAGTAGCACAGTGCCTCCCACATAGTAGGACTGACAGAATGAAATCAGACTGTTGTCTCATTCTAGTGGTGTGTCTGGAACATTCAGTTCCTTGGACAGATTCAATCTTGCAATACTTAATTCAATGTTTGACATTATGGCTATCAGATTGGACTAATGAAATCTCATTGGATTTCTGAATAACAGGCCAACCAGGAGCCCATTTTTAAACACCTGGAATCCAATAAAACTTGACTATAGTGGAAAGAGGTTTGGATTTAGAGACATATAAAAGTTACCTTGAAGCATTTTTCAAAAAGTACATTCGTAGCTACTACCTCTACTAGCAGGGGCACATTAGAATCTCCAGCACAAGACACATGTTGTTGAAAAACAACAACAACACCTCATGCAGTTCGGATTTCCTCTTCCCTAGCTTCTGTTCTCATTACCTCTGGAGTTTGGAAATCAATGAGAAGTTGCTCTCCAAGGGTCTATCTGTAAAATTCTATCGTTTTATTGGCAAACATTCTACTACCTGGTGATGCTTTTGTTGCCAGCAGTTATCAATTCTATACCTATCTTCTTTATTGGAACTTGTTTATTATGTGGACATAGTCTCTCCTGTATGGTCCTTAAATCTAAAGCTTTTAGAGCTATGAGATAAAGGTAGTGGATTAAGTGAGGATCACTTTCTCCTTTCCCACTTTTTTTTCCTCCACACTCAACATCTTGGATCAGAGAACTTTGGCGATACTGACTTTCTTAATCTTTAGAGGTTGAACAACTGCTGTTGAAACTCTGGCTAAGTTCTATTGCACTGGTAGAAATAGTGGCTCTAGCATATAGTAATGACTCAAGAAATGGTGGTTCCATCAAAGTACCTACTACATATGGTTTAGTAATACACATTGTAGGAAAATATTGGTTAAACGTAATTGAAAATCACCTCATTTTTGTTTTGACTCTTGAAAATTGCTTTTCTAGTTATATTTATGTGTTTTTTGAACAAGTATAAAGGGAGTGACTTAGGGTATTCTAATGAGATAAAAAATAATCTTTCTAAAGAGAAGTTACTTTTTTTCTAATAAGTTGTTTGTGATGATCTGTAATGGTCATTTGAGTGGAAATGGAGCTTTTATTCATCAGTCCATGGTAGAATGTCAAGCTGAACCCCATGTTAGTCAATTCTTTATTAGACATTCTATTATTTAAGTCCTTGGAATCATCTCAATGTGTTGAGCACAAAACTACGACTCAAATATATGAATTATTATGATTAAACATTTTTTATTATTTGAAGTTTATTATAAAGAATTGTATTGATTGACTTGGGGCGGTAACACACAATACAGTGTACAGATGATGTGTTGTTGAACTGTGACCTAAAACCTGTATAATCTTGTTAACCAGTGCTACCCCAATAAATTAATAAAAAGTAAAAAAAAATTGTATTGAGAGGGAAACCATAAAAGTTATCTATAATTCCATCTATGCTGAGCATTGTGGGAAATTTTGGTGTGTTTTGAAAATAATATTCACTTCTGCTGTTAAAAGGTTTTTAAAGTCTGTTGAAAATTTTTGTATTTGAGATAAATTGTCTTAATAATTTTCAGTTAGCCTCTCTTAACCCCCTTTCATATTAACCTCCATGTTCTCAGTCTGGGGTCCAGTGATATGCGGGCTTCATGACTTAAGTCCCCTAGGACCCAGAATCAATTTGAGAAACATGTGTAGTGACTGAGCAATGATTATCAATTACTTCTCCCTACAAAAGAGCTTATCTAACTGATTCTCTTTCTCCTAGAGCATCTCTTACTTCTCTGTTGTTCAGACTTTTGAGGCAAAAAGGTGATATGCTTGGGTTACTCTTGTCAGATTCATGATCTTTTCAAAGTGCTTTATTATCTTTATCATTGCTATTGTGATTTTATTTCCTTATTATTTTTGTCAGAAATTATAGAAAATATATTTTATTTGTAATCAGGTATAACTTACCTAAGTCTATCACAATAAATGTTGAAAGTATCTGTCTACCCAATTTTTATTGAGTCAAAATGGATTTAAATGTCTGATTTCCTTGTTACTGCACTGTTCTAGCTCACTAAGTGATATCAATTTTGATGCCATCTTATCTGTTTTTAAAGACCCTATGTACTCAGAGTGGAACAACTAGTAAACCTTATTAATGCCATCTTGTTTGAATTATGCCTCTTAGGGGCATGAAGAGAATTGCCTCAAAGTGTCAAAATCTGGCTGAGCTGTTGGAGTCCACCTTAGACTAGTTTATATAAGACGTTAGCATCTTAGGTGAGATTCATTAGACTTGCAGCTCTGCAGGCTGTATATTATACCAGTAGCCAGGTGTGGGCAGTGATACAGGCTTTGAGAGATCTCTCTTGCTGGCCCAGGGATCCAAGGCAGTCAGTGCAAAACCTGGCCAGCAGCCCGAGTGAGTAGGAGCCATGTGACTCTGGTGAGTTGGAGTGTGCAATTGCCTCCTGCCTCAGAGCTACCTGATCCGAATACTAAGCAGAGCGAGTGCCGGGCTGAGTGTAAGACACTGAAGCCGCTGCAGAGAAAGGTGCTTATTCCAGCGGCGCTGCAAAACATGGAGATTAAAGACCAGGGAGCCCAAATGGAGCCGCTGCTGCCTACGGTAAGAGACAACCTGCTGTGATGTAGCTTTAACCAGCGGTGTTTGCTGCAAAACCTGTCAGGCAAGCGGTCTGCTAGCTAGGTGCAGCGTGTGTACTTTTGGGGTGGTGGATAGCTCCCACGACATAAGGACAGGGGTCTCCTCCCATTTTTGGTGACTGAAATGCATAACGCAAAACACATGATTCTCTCCCCCCCTCTCTCAATATGGATGCACTATGGTGATGAAATGTCTTGTGTTTCTGCTGTTTGAAGGGATGGCTAGGTTTTAGCAGCTGTGTGGCTTTCCCTGCCTGTTACTGCCTATCTTGGTGTCTCAGGCTGTGCAGGGATGTTTCAAGCCCCTGCAAAGAAGCCCCCTTTTATCATATTTATCCGTGGTAAATTTCCTCCTTATGCCTCATGCCCCTCACAGGGAGGTAAGTGAATTGGCTGCTGTTGCAGCTTAGAGATTTAGTCTCTGCAGAAACCAGGGGAAAGGCGAGCAGAAGGATCACGTTCTGTGTGTGTGTGTGTGTGTGTGTGTGTGTGTGTGTGTGTGTGTGTGTTCTCTCAGTCTCTCTCAAAGGGAAATGTGTCATGGTTTACATACAAAGATGGTATGCATTTTGGGGAACAGGTATACAATCCAGATTTGAATATCTGAAGGGTTCCTGAATGCTCATTTGGAAATAGCTTGTTTATTGCTGGGTCTTTGAGCCTCCTCCCTCGACCTAATTCTTAGGTAAGTAGTTGATTTATCTGTCTTCTGCACAAATCTCTCTGGCTGGCTCAGACTTTGTAGATCCTCAGACAGCATCTTCTTTCTCATCCTGGAGCAGCTGATGTTACTGTATTCAAGATGAGAAAGAAAAAAAAGAAAAAGCCCCAACGGTATTTTCTTGATGCAGCAGAGATGCCAAATGAAAGCTTCCAGCCATCCATCAGAGCTGTCACAGCTCAGAATAGCAGACATCTCCTCCTTGCGCCAAACCAGGTTGTTCTCAGCTCTCGGCTACTCAGGTTGGTGACCCACCTAGCAGAGAGGGGACTGGCAGGAAGCTGTCCATTTCCCGGTCTATTCCCAGGCGTTGAACACATCTTTAAATCAAAGAATACCCCCATGGGGAGTGGGTAAATTCAGGGCCACTGTATTCTTAGGGCCTTACCTCTCCTACTGGCTCAAAATCTGCAAAAGATTCCAGTTTGCATCCCGGAATCAACTTTGGTCATTGAGCATGCCCAGTTCTCCTCAGGATGCCAGATTTGGGCAGGGAGGAAGCAGGGAGATGGGAAGAATCAGGAGTCACCATAAGAATGGAGCCTAATTAAAGGGCAGGGACAGTGTGTGTGTGTGTGTGTGTGTGTGTGTGTGTGTGTGTGTGTGTGTGTATGTGTGTGGTGGGGGGTGGGGGAAGAGGGATGAGGAGTATGGGAGGGTGGAGAGGAAAGCATGCCAGTTAGCCTGGCTGCTTAAAAGTAGAGACATTTCTTTGCAGAGCAGAGAGGAGTTATTTTACAGAATGAGAGTGAAAGGTTTGTCTGCCTTTTCAAACTTGTGTAGATACATAAATTAGGATTCTGTGGGTACTGAGAGTAAAGGGTGTTAAGACTATCAGAGAATTATTGTTCCCTAGATGACAGGAGCTCATCATAGGAATTGGGGGATGGGGAATTAGGAAAGATTAAGACACAGGGGAAAACCCTGTTTTAGGGAAAGGGGGTTGGGAATTGTCCTAGAAAAGCAATCTGAAATAATTTTAATGTGGTGTGTGAGTTGTCATTTGTGGGAACAGTTGAAGAATTTTGGAGCAAATGAGAAATTTAGAAGAGAATGATATTATGGGCTAGATGGACAATCTGTTGCTTAAAAGATAGAAAATACAAGTTTGTCTAGAAAAGAAGGTCTATAGTAAGTTGATGGAATTTTTAAAGAGTCAAAAGTTTGCAAGAATAGAATAATTGCATAGTTTAATGACAAGGAAGGATCATTTAGCAGTTCATTATAAGAAAGAAAGAAAGAAAAAAAGCCCAAGAAGATAGAAAGGATGCTGAATTATTGGCCTACTTGTATTTGTATAGTATTTTCAACTTCCTCAAATGCTTTTATGGATTTTTTTTTTTAGTTTCAAAAACAATCATGTTAAAGCAGATTTTATTATCTTAATTTTAAAGATGAGAAATGAAAGCACAGAGAGTTTGAATAACATGTCTAAATTCACACAGGCATGAAGCCAGGACTAGAATATAGGTCTTCTGAAACTGGTTCAGAACAAAAGTAGTGTTTTTTTTGTTTTTGTTTTTTTTTTCCAACATGACATTATTAACCAGGCTTATTATAATGAGATTCTGGACTGGCCTTTTATGCTTGGAAGAAAAAGAGAGAAACAACTTTGGGTTCTGTTTTAGAAAATTTGCAAATAATTATGTGAGAGGCAGTATGGCATAGTATTCAGAAACACAGTCTCTAGGTCCCAGCATTGCTGTTTATATGCTGTGTGATAGAGGTAAAGGGATAAGCCTTAGTTTCTTCAACTGAAAAATGGGAAGGGGATGATACTTATCTTTTGGGGTTTGTGGATGAGTAAATGAAGTAACATATGTCCAGTATCTGACATTTACTAGTAGTACGGTAAATATTCTGTAAAAGCTGCTATTAATATTGATGGAAGTATAGACATTGAGATGAGTCCCAGGTTTCAGGTCTTATGGAAGGTGGCTTGTCAGTGCTATGTCCTAAGAAGGAAAAGTGGGGAAATGGAACACCAGAAAATTCTATGCAGTGGAGGTGGAGGTGGGATTTTTAGTTTTAGCTATGGAGTCTGTAGTATGGCAGGAAAGCTAATCAGAAGGCCATAAGAAAACATAGATTAGATCTGGGACAGAGCAGTCAGACATAGGTAGATGGAGAAGTCAGAGAGAAAGAAAAATCATAAGAATAGACATGCCAAATGAGTGAATGTGTGAATTTTGATTTCAGTGAAAGGGAGGAAAAGATTCTTTTCCCCCCCAGGTGTACCTTTGTTTAGTATATATAAAGTACTCCTTAGAGGGTGTGTGGAGGAGACCCTGATGTGTTTTCCTTTTCTCTCAGTTCTTCTTTAAACTAATAATTTTCTTTTGCTGGTCAAGGCCTCACTGCATTGTGTAGGCCCCAGTCACTCTTAGGGTTAGGGAGTTCAACTCAGGTAGGCCCAGAGTAGAGGCTGGCTTCCATAGTACCTGACTGTTATGTTTGAGCTATTACAACAAGCCATATTAAAAGAATTACTTACTTATTAAATGCCTTCTATTGGTCAAATATGTTCTTGATGCCAGGGATACAGAAAAGAACAAGACGGACAAAACTCTGTCCATATGCATCTCACAATCTAGCTAGTCCAGAGGTAGGGCTCAATGTAATTTCTTGAGAGACTGTTGTTTTCTTCTCAAATATTTCATCATTCTTATAAGCTCTTTGAGATGGGTACATATGGGAAATATATGTGACAATCATGATGCTGAATCACTTCAGTAATAATAGTTTTAATCATTTAAAAACAAGCCAGAGGTTTAGGATATTGCTCATGACTTCAAATTTTTCTGTTGACATTCAGTGTTGAATTTGCTTCTAAGAGTAATCTGGCAATTTAAATTACAAGGCCATGGAAGAGGCTTTTAGGAGGTTATTTTTATAAAAAAATATTTATATCTCCTGCCATTTAATCTTAGGTGCTATGTAGTGGGTCCATGTAGAATTCATTATAAAATTCTGATGTTCTAAAAGGAACTCATTTTAAGTGGAACTTACTCATAAAACTGTCCTGAGGTATGGAAATAAAGTAAAGTCAACTTTTTAAAGGTAATTTGATATTATAGTGTAGCTGGTGGAATTGAGCACCTTTAAAATGCTAGTTCAGAATTTCAAATGATCTGAGTTATTGTTATTTTATTTGTGCAAAACAGTTATGAAAATCTTTGATATTAGTAAATCAGTGAAAGGAAAATGGGACTAAAGTGTCAGAGTAACAAAAAGAGCACATAGGTTGGCTAAGCAATATTAGTATTTATATTTTACTTGAATTATAATTCAGATATAGTATGCATTTAAATAAAACATGCTTATTACACATGGAAGCAAAATGTACACAAGGAAGCCAAAGAAATAAATTATCATTTCCACTTTCATGACTTGAATTGTTACTTTACAATGGTGAATGACTGTGGAAATAAAATATGTGTATAGGATGCTGAATGGTAGAAAATAAAGACTATAGTATTAAATTCATGATGAAAATATTGAGGTCAGGTGAGGAAGTGGAATAGTATATGAGAGAGGGGTAAAAAAATATCTAGGCCAAGTTCTAAAACTCAAATCGAGTCAGAGAGCATGGTAAGAAAAATAATGACACTTATAATGTATCATTTTTTTTCTAACCTTAGGATGGCTGCTTCAGAAGTTAAACTGGACATAGATAGACTATAGAGCATTGAACGATGCTACAGGTGAATGGAGAAATGTGGGTGCTACTCTCAGTCCTGTGTGGAGAAATTACCACTCCCTTTGCCACATGGGACACATGTCTTGATTATTTGGCTTTCTGCAAAGATGCACTTTCAATCTATATAGTAAATATTAGTGAAGTGGTATTTACTTTTAAGTAATATAGCTGTAACTTAAAGTTCTAATATATTCTCCCACTTAAAAGATTTGTCTCAGATACTCCTTGGGTGTATCTTATCTAGAAAGAGGGAATAACTAGTGTATAATGCATCCATCTTGCGGAATTATGTATGTTTTGGTCAGAGAACTGTAGAGATCATTTGGAAGCCAGATTTGAGATGAAATCCTTAATTTACAAACTATGAAACCGAGAGATAAGGACTGTATTTAAGGCATACCATTTATGTTAGTTAATGGCAGAACTTGGCCTAGAGTTCAAATCTCTTGATTCTGAGTTCATTCTTTCCACTGTTGTATAATCCCTATTCTATAAACAGCTGAATGTCAAATTAAAATTATTATGGTAATTATCTTTGTGA